TTACTCGCGCGGCTAAAATAGAAATTATTTATATAATTAAAGCGCAGGACTAGATCTGCTAGTAGTAATTTAGTAATATATAATAAAAATAGTACTAAAAAAAGGGGCAAGCCCTGCGGTATATTATAGCATACTAAATATATTATTATTATAGTAGATTTTAGGCGCATTTTCGCGCTTTATTTACTAAAAAAACTTATAATTAAAACTAAAAGCACGCAAGGCCAGCCCTACTTTATTATTTTTTAAAGCAGGTGTTATGGCAAAATAATATTAAAAGCACCTAAAATATTTATAATAACTATAATAACCTTTTAGTTTTATAAAAGCGCTATTTTTATATTATAGGTAAATAAGGCTATTAAGTCCATGGCTAATTATTTAGGTAAAGCACTGCATTACTATAGGCTTAGCACCCCTTATACTAATATAGTAAAAGTAACACGGCACGCTATTATTTATTTAAGTCCCTTTTTTAGTATTAATAATAGTACTATAGGGCGCTAGGAACAGGGCAAGAACTTATTTTTTTTATTACTTTTTAAAAGCATTACCACCTCCGCGAGCTTCCACGGTAAAAAAAAATATTTTAGCTATAGGTATTAGTTATACAGCCCATGTACAGCCTTTTTAATATACTTTTAGCAGGCTTTTAAAATATAAATAATTACCTAATTTACTCCAGGAAAGGTACTACTCACGCTAATAATATTTTTTTTAACCTTTTTTAGTAAGATCTCTTCTAGCTAGTAAAAGTACTTATCTCCCTGCTAGTATTCTAGTGCTAGGAAATTAAAATCTAAATTATTATTTATACTAAAACACTCCAGCACTACCTTCCGCAAGATATTAGCTTTTTTTTACATGTTTTTAATTACTTTATTATTTATTAATAATAGGGGAGCCTTAAGCCTAGGCTTTAGCTTATACCATACTATTATTTAGTATAATTCCTAATTATTTTTAATATTATTAATTATCTTAGTTTAATACACGTGTTTAGTCCTGCAAACCATAGCTAGGAACTACTTTTTTTACTTTAGGGTAGGGTCCACTACCCAGGCTTTATAATCCTTCGCGTACTTAATTAACTACTAAGGGGTACTATAGCTCCCTGGGTTAGGGTGTTTATTAACCACTTATATAGCTTTTATAATAATATTACTAAAGGATTTAATATATTAATTTAGCGCCTTTGCGTCCCCAAGTTCTCCAGGCTAGGAAAAAAATATTATTTTATTTTTAACAAGTTTAGCTAAGTGTTTTAGTTTATAATTTAGTATACTATAGTAGTACTATTCTAGCATCTCCTCCCCGCGCCCTGGCATTATAATAACTAAAGTTTAGTAATTAAAATTATTATATAACTTAGGTATTACTAGCGTACAAGTAAAAAAAATATTTAAAAAAAATAAGTTAAAAATATAACTAGTCTTATGTGTTACCACGCCTGGCTTATTAATATAGTTAATATTATTATTACTAGCCCACCTAGTAATCTCGCCGCCGCGGTGTAAATTATTTATTTTAGGCTTAAAAGTATTATAGGTAGTGTTAAAATCCCCGCTAATTACATAGTTAAAGGTAGGGATTAATATAACCAGGTAATTAACTATTTTATAAGTAGTTAATTCTTAATATATATTTAGGACCTTAATATTATTTACTATAAGCTAAAGCATATTCTAGCTTTATATTAAGTGGTATTATTTAACACGCAGCGCTCCCCCTTTATAAATATAGGTAAGTACTTTAAGGCGCTTTTTTAACTAGTTTTTATAATTATTCCAGGTGTTTACTAGCGCGTAGTACTTATATACTAAGTGGTTTTAAGTTTTTATACCTGCGGTAATCCAGGGCTTTTAAATATAAGTAATATTATAGCCTTACTTATAGGCTAGTTATAAAATTATAGTATAGCTAGGTATAAATCTATTTATATTTACCTAGTAAATAATAAAATCCCGCTATTACTAGGCGCTATTATAATAATAATTATTATAATACCTCCTTTGGTGCTTTAGTATTAGAGCTTAAAGGGGGTCTTAGCATTAACCTTTATTACCTAGGGTAAAAAAGGTATGCCCGCATTAACTAGGGCTGGTTAAATTAATTTAGTAAAAAGCTACCTAAAATTTTAGTTACCAGCAAAAGCATTAAACCGCGGGGTATAATAATTAATAATTATTATAAAGCCCTGCTTGTTTACCTTTAGCTTCTCCGCGGCGCGCTTTTAGGGATTTTTCTAGGGTAAAAACCTTATAGTCTTTACCTAAAGCTAGGTATTAGTATTTACCTAGGCGTGCATGTTTTAGTACTAGCGGGTGCTATAATAGCATATATTATTAAGTTTTTTTTTAAATAAGTAAACTAAAGTTTTATTCTTGCGCCTAGGGGCCGCTAGATAGTTATTATATTTAGCTAGCCAGGGGCCTAAATAATTCGCGCAGCGCGTAGGGTTCTTATAATTTAGGCTAATAAAACTTAAATAATTTATAGCTGTTATGCTATACTATGTATAACATGCTATGTAATTATAACACGCTAGGTAGTAATATTTTTAATAGCTAGGGTTATATTAAGAGACTAGCTAGTGCTTTTTAATAAGCTAGCAGCGCTTACTTTAGTTAAATAGTATAAAAGTCTTAGGCTACTTTAAAAAAAAAACCACCTAGGTAATACACCTGGTATTAAGGTTAGGCCCGTGTTTTAAAAAAGCAAGCCTAACTAGCTCTAGTCCTATCTAGGCCATAACTTTATTTTAAATTAACTTAGTAATATTTATCCTACTATTATTATATACTAGGATAGTGCTAGGCACTTCTTACACCGTGTAGTTATACTACTTTTAAAAAACATATATATTAGTAGCACCTAGGGTGCAGTAAATTATATTAACCACTTTTTTAGCTATTAAAAAATCCCTAGTAAAAAAGTTATTAAAAATAATAACCTAGCCTGTGTAGGTAGTATTAATCCTAAAAATAGCCATGGTTATAATTAATTTTAGCACGCACTTAATAAGGGCTTGCTAAATAATATACGCCTTAGGGCGTGCTATTAATTTATTACTAAAAAAAATAATTAATACCCTGCGGTTATCTTGCGTGGTTAAGGCTATAGTAAAGCTACTACATGTTAATTAAGCTACCAAGGTGCCTAATAAGGGCACCTTACCTAAAATAATATTAGTTAGGGCAAAAAAACCTACTTTAGGAGGGGTAGGTTAAGCCCCTAAGTTTTTAAGGGTTAAACTTATTTCCCCCCAGGCAAGAGTCTTACTAAAGGTTATTATAATAGCAGGCTAACTATATACACGTAGGGGAATATAATTAGCGCTATTAGTATTAGCATAGCCCTTTAAAAAAATAAAGTATATAAACTTACTATAAATATTATAGGCAAAGACTTTTTAATTTTAAGTTTTTTACCTAGTTATAAAGCTATTAATAATAGCTATAAAGCCTATAAAAACTTCGCGCTTAATATATACCTAGTATTTTTACTTATTAAGCTAATCGCGGAGGGTCTTTATAGCCAGGCCAGGTTAAAAAGTTAACACGCTATTACCTTTAGTAATAAAAAAGAAAAAATGGGCTTGCTAGGGCCCTTTTCCCTTTTATTTTTTTATAATATAAAGGTTAAAGGGGGATAGGAAATCTTATAACTAGGTAAAGTTAGCTAAATTAAAGCCCATAGGCTAGTTAAAAATACACGCCTTAATTTTAGCTATCACGCCGCGGGGAGTAATAAAAAAAAAAAAAAAAGGTTAAAAATAAAATTAAAATAGTAAAAATATATATTTATAACAGTTTTAAAGCATCTAGAGCCCTTATTTAAAGGTACCCCTAGATTGCTGAGAGTTGTAAAGGTGAAGCTACAGGTTTGGGTTGTGCGGAGCGTGAATCAAGGCCGCAGTTGGGAATCTGGGATTGACTGCGGGGCGCTGGGTCGCACACCTGCAAGATCATCCATGGAACTGGTTACTGTGGTCTCGACTCTCGTATCAATCACCCGTGGACGTTGGATACGTCCAATCAAGAAGCCACCCAATGAAATGAAGTGATGGCAGTTTTGCAGTACCGCTCGACGTGAGATCCCTGCAGGTGGCCTCAGTCTGACAGTCTGACTGCTCGAACAGCTGCCGGCACTTCCTTGAGATCGACAAAATGTGAAGCGAGGGCGAATGGAAGAAGGGTTGTGGGCACGCACGGTTCTGGTGGGACGTTGCACACGATGAAGCCCCGAAGGCCGGGCTGGCATCTGATAGCAATAAGAGGTGACTCTGAAGCTCGAAGATTTGGATGATTCCATGCTTGCTGATTGGCTGGTCGATGGTTGACAGATCGACAGTCTGAAGTGCGGTCTAATTGCTTGTGAACATTGGAGTTCCGGTCACAGTTTAAGGTACTTTCTGGTACTTTTCTGGTACTTTTCTGGTACTTCGTTGGTACTTTACGTCTTACATTACTGCTCCACACTGCCTGCATAACCAATTTGTACCTCCAAAAAGCAAGTAAAAAAATGGCCCGACCGTAAGCTTGAGCAATTAATGCCTCCTCTATTTCAGAGCTCCATAGAAGTGTGCGGGAATTGTTGGATAGCACTGCCTGACCCGTCTCACTCATCACATTGAGCTGAGCTATGCTCCAACATCACGATTCGTATGCCGGCAAGCGGTTGTACACTTCTAGGAACTGCAGGTATCTCCAAGCTGCGATTCGATGCAGCCTTCAAGGGCTTGGCCACTTCAGGGACGACCGGGAAACAACACTTTAATTGCAGAAATGCATTTTTTTCTACCTAGCATAAACCATAACAATCGACTTCTTTCAAATGAAGAGAAAGAAAGAAGCGGAAATCCTGAGTGCATGTATGGTACCATCCATAGATTCACCACACACCCAGCCACTACTAAGCTAGCAACCAGCGATCTTGATCATCGAAATAGCTATCCAAACCCCCATATCAGCAACAGCTAGAATCAAGTACTGAGAAACTCACATGCTGCTATAATTCTCCCAGGCTTTGTCAAGCTCCCGACTAGAATATTCCCAGCGGAGGACAAATTCTATAAAGTCGACAAGCACCGCATCGCGTACGCGGCCGACAATGCCGCGGTCGCTGAAGTGTTTACGGATCCGCACGGTCACAGGAACACTAAAGACCCGTAGGACATCTGGGATAGGATTAGCAGCCGGCGCGGCGAAGCTTTGACTACCAGCCGTGGGAGTCACTAGCCATTGTTACCGCGGATCAGGGCCACCCTGATGTCGGGGAACGGCGAGGATACGTCACGGTAGGCAGGGCGCTCGGGCATCTCGCGGCTTGTCATCCGTGGCGATGCGGCTGATATCGGGGGTTTCGAGAAATTGGCAGTTATAACACTGGGGTATCAAGACGGACGGTGGACTCCTTTTATGTTCGCGAGACAGGCAATCAAACACACGCTGCTTCTTAGCAGATTGTGAAGGTATCTTTGAAATATCTCCCATCCGTCTATCCCCGGGCGTGTCCAAAGTCCTGTCAAAAGTACAACTGACCATGGACAGCAAAGCAACGACGGCGCCAGGGTGCTGAAGAACGCCGGTACAGCTACCTAGAGAGATACATCAAATGTGGCTCATCTCGTTCGAAAAGATAGGTGGTACCTACCTACCCTGAACCATGCTTATAATAAAGATCTTCATGAGTTCTTTTCCTAAGCATGACCGGAGTAGCAGTTTGGCGCACCTCTGGGTGACGGATTGCATCTATTACCCGCCTAAAATCCAGCCCTCCACCGATGGGTTGGCGATTAATCACCGCGGAGGTGCAGAGCGCCATGGGGCTTGCCTGTACTACCCCAGGCAGGGCGATCTTTTGATCTTGTTTCACCTTCCGAGGTCGGCAACAACCATTTACGACTGGCCAACGCGCTCGGCTCAAGGAGGCATCCCCCGAGCCATAAGATCGGGTTGGGGATCACAATGTGACCAATCTTCATAGGTAAGATTGCGGCGCGGTAACTGCTGCGCCTCTTACCTACCCTGGTTGCCAGACGGCGCGATGCTTGGGCGGCGGCGGTAGAGAGTAACAAGATCAATCTTATGGCGCTCAGAATCTGATGACAGATGGACACTTCCCTGATAGGTGAGAATAGGTCGCGTTTCTGGCGCCTTTCTTCCCCTCTCCATGCTACCTTATCCTGAACAAACAGCAAACGGACGGGAATATTCGCCTTTTTTCCGCTCAACAGACTGGCCCCTACCTAGGTATGTATCTCCCGTGATTCTTTGCGGCCTATTTGTGATGGTTATGTTGAGCAAATGCAAACAGCGAGGCACTGGATGGCTCAATCCCGACTCTGGCTGTTTTCTCTTTCGACATTCCACCCCCTGGAGAAGTGCATACAAGCGAGCCTTGCGTGTTCTCACCCCAAGCACCCTTAGTCGATCTCATGGAGTACACCATATCCCATCAGAGCGCTCAGCAGCCCCTTCCGTAATGGCGAAATCATGCCTCGCGGCTTATTTGAGTTGGTTTGTTTTCCTTTCCAGTCTTTTCCCTCCGTGAGCTCCTACCATACTCCGCCTGAACCTCTACTGGACAATGATCCTAACGCGTTTCTTCTGCGCATCACACCTACGTCCGCGAACGGTCGCGCGCACTCCGTCCCCGCCCCCGCGGTCGCTGGCCGTCAAGGCATTGTGGTCGGGACACGGTCTAAATGGAAGGGGCAGGGTCCTTAGCCGACGGCTATTGGGTGCATCGTACATTTGAATTCGGGAGAGAAATTCTCACGGCTCATTTGCCACATCTCGCAGACGGATTTCCTGAACACCGGTGACGTGCCTGATATCGGCGAGCAGGTCTTGCGCTGCAGTAAAGTACCCAATTGCACCGTTGCCGGCTCCCCCGAACAGCATCCCCTGGACCAAACCGCCGCGGTCGAAAATAAGAGATCCGGCATCGGACGCCTTGAATGCCACCCTACCTGGGCGGAGAATCACATGCTCCCATGTTGGGAAAGTTACTCGCTCTCCGTTGACAAATCGAGTAGCTATCCTGCATGTGGTGAGGTTCCCGTACTTGCCCTCTGTGTATCCTGTTGCCCTACCCATTTTATAGAGCGGCTCGTCCATCTCGGGAAGCTCCATACCAAAGTCGGTGAGTTGATCGAAACCACGTGGACCATCAGTTGGAATCTAACAAGGTACATTAGCGACAAATCTTTGAAATTGTCCAGAGCACTACCTACCGTGACTTTGTTGTTTCCCGGGACTCGTCTGGGGCCAACCTTGACCAGGGCCCAATCCCGGATTGAGAATTTCTGGGGGTCGTCGACAGAGGGTGCCTCTCGTAGACCAGATGCGGCGAACACTGTCCCAAGTTTCAATCCGGGATGCCTCTGAGCGAATTCTCTGATCTCATTGCGCCCCCGCCTACACTCCGCAATTGTTGTGGCGAGACGCTGCCTCAGCTTTTCGAGGTAGGGTACAACGAGCTCGTCGTTCGCTCGAAGCTCTTCGACTTGCCGGTATACACGATGTGACTCGTTTTGCTTGATGATTGTTGTGAGCCTATCGATGGCGCTATCGATGTCTCTTTTGCTTGGCGAGTCTACCGGCAGGAGGCGGGCCTTGTTTTCATCTTGGGCGGGCCGAACACCCTCCTGCTTCCATTTTTGGACAGCTACATTCATTTTAGACGCGGCCATTTTTGAAGCATGGAATATCGCATGGCCCAACTTACCTTTTAGGTCTCCTGTGGAGAGCCCACTATCATTGGGCAAACAACAGTGCGAGCAGGTTAGGGCAAACGGCAGCCATTCCCCATTCTTAGGGTTCCTCAGTTCGACCCACCCGCCCAGCGTTCCGTGTGCGTCCTTCATGCCAGCCAGACCGATGCTAGAGCCAAGCTTGGGGTTAATTCGACAGTCATTAGGCGTAATTACATCGTCACTGGGGTCACCGCCACCTGTGACCTGGTTGTCTTTGTGAATTGCCACGGCAACATCGTCAAGTCCGTATCTGTCAAGGACGGCGACAACTTTCTCCCTCACTCGCCTCCAGTCGCGCCTGGTGGACCGATCGACACCCAAGAGGACGGTCGGCGGGCATTGCCGACGGTCGCTATTGCTACCGATGCGGAAGCACCCGATCGTGAATACGCCTCTAGTCCCAATGGTATTGAAGATTTCCAGGGCAATTTGCTTCCAGATGGGGAAGATGGCATCGGTCGGCAGACAAGCATGGATCACCGGAGAATCTCCGAACTTCTCATCGACGATTTCGACTGAAATTGGTTCGTCGGTCATCTTCTTGCCCTTAATGTGGTAGAGCAATTTCCGTGCAACAGTCCGCCACGTCGCTCGCGATGCGTCGCTGCGGCTTGCAACGACAAGCAGGGTTAGTATGGGCTTGCGGTTCGGCTCATATATCGACCGCCGCCCGCAGAATCGGATCTCGCTCGCCTGGAGGTTTTCGTTGCGGCAGATCTCGTCCAGCTCGGCGTGGATCTCGAAGGTCTGCGTCCATTCGAGACCCGCGTGTTCTGGGCGCCATGGAAGCAGGAGGATCATCTCGCATGGCAAGTCGCAGAGGTCTGGCCCGCCCGCTCTAAGGTCTGTCTCGATGAGTCCGTCTTGGTCGGGAACTGGTGTGGTATCGCTGGATGAGCCATATGTTCGTCGGAGGCGAGTAGGTTGGGGGCTCTGGTGGATATAGGGTGTCGGGTGTGGTTGGATTTTCGGCGACGCGTATGAAAGCTCGGTGGGGAAGATGGGCGCAATTAGAGATTGTAGCAGGAGGGTAGACATGATTATCCGTAGAGTGAAGGATGTTCTGGCTAATTGTGGTTGGAGTCGGTGTACTCGGGGAGTTTTGATGATCGGTGCTGGTGTGTTGTTGGAGAGATCAGGAAGCTGAAGACAAGACGCTTCGGACACTCAGTATACACCGGAATTCCAAGCCAACATGGGGAGGAATGAGTCACCACGTAAAGCCCGAGGCTTTGGTGGTTGGGGATTGATGTCCGGAACCCTAAACTCGGTCACACACCAATACTCTCCTATGTCACTTGTAAGTTGCCACCCCGGGTCTCGAGTTCAATTCGAATGAGCAAGATGCCAGACGAAAGAGTCATATTCCTGAGTATGAGGATGACTCTGTGGCCAGCTAGGGTGAAGTTGTTGGGAGACGAATATCTCTGTGGGCGGAGTCAGGCTAGAAAGGAAAAGTGGTAGCACAGCGAGCCTAGGGCAGCACGCCTGAACACTATTGACGGCGTCGTGTCAGGAATATGGAGAAGTCTTGAAAGATCTGAATGACTAAATAAGAAAAGGGAAAGGCCTGATAACACTGCCGCGGCGCAGAGATCCCCTTGGAGGGAAGGCGTGGAAATTGCTGGACAAGAGATCGATTCAAGGGAATCCCAAATTCCAAGATCAGCTGCGATGAAGCCATTCAGGGCGCAGGACAACCGGATCATTCATGCGGCTTTGGCGGCGAGAATGTAGTAAGAGCGGATTATTCGTACTGCGTCGGATGATCCGTAGTGCGTAGTAAAGAAAAAGTGACCTTTGTAGAACGCGTTGGCGTGATTGAACAGGTCGTCGAGGGGGATCATTGTCAGCCAAAGGTGGAGATCTCTCATTTTGGTGGAGTTCTTATTTGTTAACGCCTCCACATGCCGCGTTAGTATAGAAAAGTAAGGCGCTTAACGCCTTACTATTCTGGTAAAGAAATTAGGCCACTAATAAGTTTTTAAAGGCTTAAATTATTTATATAAACCCTTAGGTAGTTTTAGCTTTTAATAAATAACTTACTTTTTTTTATTTTTTTTATAGTATTTAATTAATAGCTTTATTAATTAATATAATATATAAAGGGCCTTATAGTTATAAACCTAAATATTAACTTAATAATTTAGCTTATTAAATTTTTACCTTTTTTAAATATTTTAAAATTATTTATATTTTTAAGTATATATCTTAAAAGTTATATTAAGCCCTTTATAGTTAATTACTTTTTTTATTAAATTAAAATAAATATTAATTAATTTTTAACTTTTATACTTAATTTAAAAATTATTATAAGCTTTATTAATAATATTATAAGTATAAAAGTTATTTTTAAGTTTAAAAATAACTAGCTAGCTTAATATAACTAGATTTTTTACTTTATTTAAATAATAAAAGTTTAAAAGTTTTTTAACCTAAATATTTTTTAAAAAAAAAGAAAAAAATTTTTTTTTCCTAAGTTACCTTTTAAAAATATAATTAAAAAAATATTTAAAATATATAATAAATACTAGCTTAATACTAAGTATTATTATATTAAAGTTTAAAAAATAAATAAAGCTATTTAAAAAACTATTATTATTTTTATTTAATAACTTATTAAAAATAAACTTATTATAAAAATTTTAGCTAAATTAAAGTAATAGTTTATTTTAACTAATTTTAAGACTAAACTAAAGGTATTTAGTAATTATTTTATAGCCTTAAATATTTTAATTTAATAAGATAAAATTAATAATTAGCTTTAAAATTATAAAAATACTTACCAAGAAATTAAACACCTTAATTAACCTAAATTAAAAAATAAAATAATTAATATAACCTTCCTGCGGATAATTAGCAAGTATTTAAACTTTTATATAAAATAAAATACTAATTAATTAAATTAAAAAGGTACTAATTTAATTTCTTATTTTTAGTTTATATTTAAATATTAATAATATTTTTTTATAATTAATAACTTTTTTAAAAACTTTGCTAGAGCAGTGGCCTTTATAACTTTTAGTAAAAAATTAAATATTTTTTTTAAAATAGTATTAATTAATAACAAGCCTTTTTATTTATATAGCTATTTTTAAGTAGTAAAATAATATTAATATTTTATATAATTATATAAAAAGCCATGGTATAAACCTAAAAAAAATATAAATAAAAAGGTTAATAAAACTTTTAATAAAAATAATAAATATAGCAAGAAACTTTAAAAGGTAAGGGCTAAAAATAAATAAATTYTTAAAAATAAAAAAAAGTTAAAAAAAAAAGTTTAAAAAGCTTTTTTAGCTACTTAGGCTATAGTAAAAAAAAATACTATAATTATATACTTATTATAAGTATTTAAAGTAATTTAATACTTTAAAATATTTTTATTTTTAATACTAGTACCTTTATTTATATTTATAATAATTTTAGCTATTTTACCTTTTTTAATTAATTAAAAAAAGATAATATTTAAATAAAAAATATAATTATTATTATTTAAGGTATAAAATTAGTACTACTTTATTTTAAGGCTTTAAATAATAAAATAATACCTTTTACTTTTAGTAAAATAGCCTTTATACCTAGCTTTTATATTAATATTTTAATAGCTAGGCCTTTTAAAAAGGCTAAATATTTTTAAAATTTTAATACCTTAATTACTAAGAATAATAAACTAGTATTTTATCTTAAAGATTATTTATTTAGCCTTTAAATAGTTAAGTTTAAAAAGAACTTAAAGCCTTAAAAAAGGCTAATATATTAATTTAATAAAAAGTTAAGACCTTAACTTAAAAAATTTATATTAAAAAAAATTTTAAAGCTTTTTACTAGCACCTAGGCTATATTAGTAATAAGGCACTTTAATACTTATTTATTATAATTAAAAAAGTTTAAATTACTAGTTTTTAACTACCTTAATAATATAATACTTATAAATATAAATAGGCCCCTTAATAAATATTTAGGAGGCCTAAAAATCCTGCTACTATATTATTTATTTAAGTTTACTTTAACTTAATTTTTATAAGAAAAGCAATAAATAAAAAAAAATAGGTAACTTACTTTTATAATAAAAATACTAAATTTTACTAGGCCTATATTTACTAAAAAAAAAGCAAGTATAAAAATATTATTAAATAATATACTAAGCTTATTTAAACCTAGTTTAATATTACTTTTAAGATTTTTTTAATAATTATAAGCTTATACTTAGTAATAATATTCTTAATTTTATTATATTTTAAGGTATACTTTAAAACTAGTTTACTTTTTATACTTTTTTTTAAAATAATATAGCTAAGTACTTTAATAGTATATTAATTAAAAAAGTAAAAATAATAGCTTTTTATAAAAAAATTTTTTTTAATATATAGCCCTAGGTTATAAAGGCCGCGGCTTATATTAATAATTAAATTTTTATTAAGCTATTAAATTAAAAAATATTATAAAAAGCACTTACTAATAAAAAACCTTATATTTTTAGTATTAAAATACTAGGCTATTTTGCCTAGGTAAGATAATTTTAGGTAAAAAGTTTTTATAAAATAAAATTAAAGGCTTTATTAAAATACTTACTAGGCTATATTACTTTAAATATTTAGTAAATCTAGTTTTTTAAAAAGTAGCTTATTTAAGCCTGTAAAAATATTATTTTTAATAAGTTTAAATTATATAATTTAAAAAATCCTTTTTTTATTATTAATATTAAAATTAAGTTACTAGAGCCTTTAGCTTAAGTTTTTAATATTTTTTTTAAAACCGTAAATTTGAAAAGATTAATCTTAACCTTAACTTTAATAAATCTTTTAAATAAAAAAAAAATAAGGGTATTTTAAATATAAATAGGCCATGGGTGGTGGAAATCTTAAAAAAAAAATATTAATAGTAGTAGTAAGTATAAAGCAAGAAATAAGGCTTAAAATATTATTAATAAAATTAAAAATACTACTAGTAAAAAAAAGGCCTTTAATTAACTAAATAAGTTTTTATACTTACTAACTTTAAAGCTAACTTCTAAACCTTATTATTATAAAAGGCTTATATAAAACTTAGCCTTATAAATAACTTTAAAAGCTTATTTAAAAAATCCCTAGTAATAAATTTTGCGCTTTTAAGTATTTTAATATTTTTTTATTAATTTAGCTAGTAAATAATTACTTAAAAAAGATAAATAAGCATGCCTAGCTTTTTTTTTTTACTTAGCCTTTAAGCTTAGCGTGCTTAGGGGGTGGAACTTTAATAACTTTAGCTTTTTTTTTAGGATATTTAGGCGTAGGCATAGATAATATAATGCTAATAATTATATATATAATTTAAATCTAAATAATGCTCCCTTAAATAATTTAAATAACCTTAATTATATTTAATTTACCTTTTTTACTTTTTATTAAAACCCTGCAAAAAAACAGCTTTATTAAGATAATCTACCTCCTCCTCCCAAGCGCTGGAGTAATCTTAAAGACTATCTGCTCCATGACAAGTTCCTAGAGGCTTTAGAATGCTCCCTCGGACGATCCAAATAACCTTGACTATATCTAATTTGCCTTTTCCACTCTTTATTAAAACCCTGTAAAAAAACGGCTTTATTAAAATAATTTACCTTTTTTTTTAAGCGCTGGAGTAATTTTAAAGATTATTTACTTTATAATAAGTTCCTGGAGGCTTTAGACTTTAAACTAGGAATATTTTATAAAATAAAAGTATAAAAGGTAGTAAATAAATAAAAAGTAAAAATAAATAAGCTAATTTTTTTATTATAGGTTTTTACTTATAAATTTAATATTAATAGTTACTTTATTAAAACTAAAGCCTAAATTTATATACATAGAGATTTAAAACTAAAATTTTTTAAAAAAAATTAAGTAATAACTACTTTAACAAGGGCCTTTAAAGCTCTTATAGTACTTATAGCTACTTTTAATTTTAATTTTAATTAAAAAAATATTATTAACATGTTTTTTAACACTGCCCTTAAAAAGGTAGTATATTTTTACTTTTTAAATAATTATAAGTAGTAGGGTAAGTTATTAAAGGCCCTT